CCAGGGGAGGAATGTGCACGAGCATGAGGGAGGCGGAAGTGAAGGAAGGAGAGGAGGCGGGGGAGGGGGAACGGGAGGAATCAGGGGGGAAGAGGGAGGAGGTGATTGATTTGGACGTGGGTTAGAGTCAAGCTCTAACTCCCATACGCTCGAGGCGAGCGGGGACCGAACGAGGGCCCGAAAAGACGAACGAGCAGTGGAGGGACAACGACCGAGCGAAGAACCGAGGCCAGAAGCACAAAAGGGACAAGAGCGAACAAGCTACCAATCTCAAAACTCGTTAGAACAATTCAGGCATCAAGTAGGTACAGTCTCCGTATTTACGAGATCAGGTCCTGCAGCGGCAGGCGCCGCTATCCTTCTTTTTCCCCACATCTAATGTGGGGTTCTTGCTTTCTCTGGACACCCCGCGCAGGAACAGGAACCCATTCCTCACTCACTCACTCACTCACTCATCATCCCTCACACACTCACTCACTCACTCACTCACTCACTCACTCACTCACTCACTCACTCACTCACTCACTCACTCACTCACTCACTCACTCACTCACTGACTCATCAGCACTCACATATGATGATGATGAGTGTGCGCGTGAGAGAGTGTGATGATGATGATGATGATCATCATCATCATCATCAGTCAGTCAGTCAGTCAGTCAGTCAGTCACTCACTCACTCACTTACTCACTCACTCACTCACTCACTCGCCTTGGGCCTCGTCTGTGAGTGAATCATGAGGAAGTCTCAGGCGGGAGCCCCCTCCCTATGGGGCCCGCGGATTATGTTACTAATCCGAGCGAGTCATCCAATTCCTGTAACTGTCGCCACTTTTGGGCTCTCGCGCTGCCAGAACGCCATTCCCAGGCCACATTTTGAATGCCCGGAGCCAACTGTAGACCACTTCGTGTTCTTCGTGCTCCCAGAACACCGGGAATGCCTGCAAGGGCCCCCTCCTTATGGGCCCGCAGATCATGTTACTAATCCGAGCGGGTCATCGGAACCCTGTAACTGTCGTCACTTTTGGGCCCCTGAGGCTTGAATTTGGAGGAAGTATCAGGCGGGAGCTTCGTCTGTGAGTGAATTGCGAGGAAGTCTCAGGCGGGACCCCCCTCCCTATGGGGCCCGCAGATCATGTTACTAATCCGAGCGGGTCATCCAATTCCTGTAACTGTCGTCGTCAGTTTTGGGCTCCTCAGGCCTGAATATGGAGGAAGTCTCAGGCGGGAGCTTCGTCTGTGAGTGAATTGCGAGGAAGTCTCAGGCGGGACCCCCCTCCCTATGGCGCCCGCAGATCATGTTACTAATCCGAGCGGGTCATCCCATTCCTGTAGCTGTCGTCAATTTTGGGCTCCACAGGCCTGAATATGGGGGAAGTCTCAGGCGGGAGCCTCGAATTCCGAGGAAGTCTCAAGCGGGAGCCCCCTCCCTATGGGGTCCGCGGATCATGTTACTAATCCGAGCGGGTCATCCAATTCCTGTAACTGTCGCCACCTTTGGGCTCTCGCGCTGCCAGAGCGCCATGCCCAGGCCACACTTGTGAGTGAATCATGAGGAAGTCTCAGGCGGGAGCCCCCTCCTTATGGGGCCCGCGGATCATGTTACGAATCCGAGCGGGTCATCCAATTCCTGTAACTGTCGCCACTTTTGGGCTCTCGCGCTGCCAGAACGCCATTCCCAGGACACATTTGTGAGTGAATTGCGAGGAAGTCGAAAGCGGGAGCCCCCTCCGTATGGGGCCCGCGGATCATGTTACGAATCCGAGCGGGTCATCCAATTCCTGTAACTGTCGTCACTTTTGGGCTCTCGCGCTGCCAGAACGCCATTCCCAGGCCACATTTTGAATGCCCGGAGCCAACTGTAGGCCACTTCGTGTTCTTCGTGCTCCCAGAACACCACTCCCGGGCCACATTGTGAATACCCAGAGCCATTTGTAGGCCACTTCGTGATCTTCGTGTTCCCAGAACACCACTCCCGGGCCATTTTCCGAATATCCGGAGCCAAAACAGGAGGGCGAGGTCGGGGGCAACGTAGGGAGCGGGGGGAGGGCCCGCGCCAGGGCGAAAAGAAATATACGCAGAAGAGACAGCCAGGACGCCTCACCAACCACGAGGACGACGGTGAGGGCTTTTTCCAGATTCGCCCAGAGGATTCTCATGTGGGGTCCTTCCGTCGGAGTAATTCAGCATCAGTCCACCATTCTGAAGACTTGAACTTCACCTTTCCTCCCCCTCCTGTGCCCCCTATCCCCGAGTCCTGGGCCACTGCAGGTTTTGCAGTTCACGGTGTGTCCTCGATCGTTGGGTACGGATTGTGTGTGTGTGTGTGTGTGTGTGAGAGCGACCATTTGTACTCGCCATCTCTCGAAGGTCAGTCTGTCTATGTGATTGGACGCTTCAAGTACGCCCGCTTGCACGCCATTCGAGGTAGCTCAGGGGCGTCACCTCTGCGTCGCCGTGTTTTCATCGTGCTGCTGTGGGGCAGGTCAGCCGATGCCCAGTCGAGTGTTCATTCTACAGAGCCAGAGGGGCCCACAGTGGGGCCACGAGAGGACGAGTCGACTGTACAGGGCCACGACGGGGCCGCCGGACCCACTGCGGGCGTCCATTGCGGTTCAGAGAAGCCCACTATCAATAGTGGCAGCAATGGACACGCACCGACCCTGGCGCTTCGCTGCCAGGTTCCGCCACGGCCAGCGATCGGTGAAGCCCGCGACGAGGAGCCTGCCGGTACGCCGGCGACGAGGAGCTAGCACACGTGTCGCACACAAGGGAGAACATAACAAACAATCAAGCGGCCTAGCGGCCTGGCTACGGAGGAGGAGGAGGAGGGGGAGGGGGAGGGGAAGGGGGAGGGGGAGGGGGTGTAAACAAACAGAAGTGGGAGGAGTGGGGGGATGATGAGGAGGAGGAGGAGGTGGAGGAGGGAGTATAAATGATGATGATGATGATGATGATGATGATGATGATGATGATGATGATGATGATGATGATGATGATGATGATGATGATGATGATGATGATGATGATGATGATGATGATGATGATGACGATGATGATTTTGCTGCTGATGATGATGATGATGATGATGATGATGATGATGAGGAGGAGGAGGAGGAGGAGGAGGAGGATGAAGGAGGAGGAGGAGGAGATGGAGGAGGAGGTGGAGGAGGAGGATGAGAAACAGTGCAAACCCTAGACTCATCAACGATGTTGCAAGAAACCCTCACTCCAAGTTCCCTTTTCAGAGATCCCCACGAAGAAGTGCCCTGCTGGAAGACGACCGTCTGAAAATCCCTGAACCGCACCAGAACACCATTCCTGGGACTCCAACGCCGCGAATCAACGTTATTAGTGCGTCCTAGCGATCATGAGTCGTGGCAGAACGCCGTTCCTCGGATGTCAGCACGGCGAAGCAACGTAAGTGCTGCGCACTGACAGTTCTACATCGTGCCAAACACGATTGGGACGTGAATCGTGCGAATCCTTGAAACTGTTGTAAGCTCTTAGGACGAATGTGCGCGGCGCTAAGGCGAGAGCCACATCTTGAAAACGACCCGCCCTCCATTCGTTAAGCTCTTGTAGATTTTTAAGACGAGTGTACGCGGCGCTAGGGTGATAGCCACATTTTTAATTCTACCCGCCCTCCATCCGTGATACTTTTGGCAAGCTTTTACGATGAATGAGTGCGGCGCTCAGGCGAGAGCCACATTTTGAGAAGCACTCGCCCTCCATCCGTGGCAACTGCTAAGCTTAAGGATCATAAGTTGTGAGGAAGTCTCAGCCGAACCGCCCAGCCCGCCCTACGGACACGTCCCGGGTTTCGACGGGGAGGAGTTGTTCCCCAAACAGTGCTTCCACCTAGGGGTTCTTAAATGTATTCCAACGAACTGGGCTGCTGTGCCGTTCTGGCAGCTACGTGACCGCCGTCGCCGCCCCGTCGTCGCCTCGTCGACGCCCGTCGTCTGGGCCGGTGTGCCGCTCTGCCAGCTAGTCGCCGTCGCCCCTCCGTCGCCGTCTCGTCGCCGCCCGCCGTCTGGGCCAGTGTCGCGGTCCGGCGGCTGTGTAGTCACCGTCGACGCCCCGTCGCGCCCCGTCGCTACCCGTCGCCTGGGCCGGTGTGGCGGTCTGGCGGCCATGTAGTCGCCGTCGCCGCCTCGTCGCCACCCGTCGTTTGGGCCGGTGTGGTGGTCTGGCGGCTATGTTGTCGCAGTTGCTACCCCGACCTAGATTGCACCACATCGATTGCACCGCATATATTGCACATCGTAGCTTGCACCACATAGATTGCGCAACATGTGTTGCACCACGTAGATAGCATCACATGGATTGCACATCATAGATTGCACAACCTAGACTGCAACCTTGATGCTTCGTGATCATACATGGCGACGAAATCTTAGGCGAAGCGCGCAGCCCGCCCTACTGACTCGTCTGAGTGTGCGACAGTGCGCAGTTGCTGTCAGGAATAGGGGAGGAGGACGGGGAGGAGGAGGGAGGGAGGGAGGGAGGGGGTCGCGTTGAGAAGGAGGAGAAAGAGGAGCAGGAGGAGGAGAAGTAGGGAGAAAATCAATAATCTAATTATTGAGATGAAGCGAAATGGTATTAGTAATCGTAGTACTAACAACACGTAATACGGATAGTACTAACAAATGGTCATGCTCATATTTTAAGAAGAATTATGATAAGAAGAAGACAAATCAGACGACCTTAACTAATAAAAATAATCATAATAATAATACTGATCGTAATACTCAGAGGACGTATAATATTTGTAGTAATATCAAGGAGCACAATTCTAAGACAAATAATAACAATAGTTTTATGGGTAATACTACTAGTATTCACAATACTAATAACCATAGTAATGCTAGTAAGAGAAGAGAAGTGAGGGAGGGCCGACGATCAAAAGCCGACGCCGACGCCTGCGCTGGTGGCGCAGACGCCCTGGCGGCGACGTCGGCCGGCGGTGGCCAGCGGCGGCGGCATCGGCTGGCCGAGGCCAACGGGCGCCGCGCGCCCGGCCTGGCGCGCTGCTCGGTGCTGAGGCCTCGGGAGGGGACGAGGGAGGGGAGGGAGGGACGGAGGGAGTGAGGGAGGGAGTGAGGGAGGAGGGAGGAAGGAGGGGAGAGGAGGGAGGAGCGAGGCAGGATGACGATGATGATGAGGAGGAGGATGACGATGACGATGACGATGATGATGATGATGATGATGATGATGATGATGATGATGATGATGATGATGATGATGATGGTGACGATGATGATGATGATGATGATGATGATGATGATGATGATGATGATGATGATGATGATGATGGTGATGATGATGATGATGATGATGATGATGCAGGTGCTGAAACTGATGCTGCTGCGGATTATGCTGCTGATGATGAATGATGATCATGATGATGGTAGTGGTGATGGTGATGATGACAACAATGATGTTGATGCTGATGCTGATTATGATGATGCTGATGATGAAGATGATGATGGTTACGACGACGACGTTGATGATGATGTATCAGCTGCTGCTGATGATGCTGATGATGCAGATGATGGTCGACGATGCTGCTGCTGATGATGATGGTGGTGGTGGTGGCGATGATGATGTTGATGCTGATGCTGATGATGATGACGACGACTACGGTGATGATGCTGCAGCTGATGATATTAATGAGGATAATGCTGGTGATGATGACGATGACGATGATGATGACGACGATGATACTGATGATGATCTGATGATGATGACCATGATGATGTTGATGGTCATATTGTTGATGCTGCTGCTGATGATAATGATAATGATGGTGATGCTGCTGCTGATGATGATGTTGCTGATTTCGATTATGGTGCTGCTGCTGTTGCTGATGATGATGGTATGATAAATGTGGTGACTACGATGACTATGATGATGGTGGTGATGATGATGATGTTGATGATGCTGATGCTGCTGTTGCTGATTATGATGAGGATGCTGATAATCATGATGATGCTGATGCTGATGATGCTGTTGCTGCTGATGATGATTGTGATGCTGCTGATGCTGATGCAGATGATGATGCTGATGCTGCTGATGATGATGATGCAGTTGATTATGATAATGACTATGCTGCTGATGATGATGATGCTGCTACTTCTGCGGTTGATGATGATGCTGAGGACGATGATGTTGCTGATGCTGATGCTGATGCTGATTATGATGAAGATGATGATGCTGATGATGCTGCTGATGATGCTGATGATGATGCTGATGATGAGGATGCTGATGATGCTGATTGTGATGATGATGACGATGCTGCTGATGGTGATGCTGGTGATGATGTTGATGCTGATGCTGCTGATGATGACGATGACGATGATGCTGCTGATGATGATGACGATTATAATGATCTTGTTGTTGATGATGGTAATGCTGATGATAATGATGATGCCGACGACCACGACGATGATGAGGATGATGATGATGATGGTGATGATGCTGATGATGATGATGATGATGATGATGATGATGATGATGCTGCTGATGATGATGATGATGCTGATGATGATGATGATGATGATGATGATGATGATGATGATGATGACGACGATGATGACGACTATGATGATGCTTGGGAGAATCTGATGATGAGGATGAGGATGATGAGGAGGAGGATGAGGAGGAGGAGGAGGAAGAGAAGGGGGAGGTGGAGGAGGAGAGGGAGGAGGGGGAAGTAGGAGGAGGAGGAGGAGGAGGGGAGGAGGAGGAGGAGAGGAGGCGGAGGAGGAGGAGTAGGAGGAGGAGGAGGAGGAGGAGTTGAGGAGGGGGAGGAGGAGAGGAGGAGGAGGAGGAGGAGGAGGAGGAGGAGGAGGAGGAGGAGGAGGAGGAGGAGGAGGAGGAGGAGGAGGAGGAGGAGGAGGAGGAGGGGAGGGGAGGAGGAGAGGGGAGGAGGCGGAGGGGGGGGAGGAGGAGGAGGAGGAGGGGAGGAGGAGGAGGAGGAGGAGGAGGAGGAGGAGGGTGAGGAGGAGGAGGAGGAGGAAGAGGAGGAAGAGAAGGAGGAGGATGAGGAGAAGGATGAGGAGGAGAGGAGGAGGAGAAGGAGGAGGGAGGAGGGCGGAGGAGAGGAGGAGGAGAAGGAGGACGAGAAGGAGGAGTAGGAAGAGGAGGAGGAGGGGGAGGAGGAGAAGGAGGAGGAGGAGGAGGAGGAGGAAGAGGAGGAGAAGGGCACCTCGCCGACGCGGTGGTCTGGAAGGCCATGGCCGAGGAGTACTCCCGGGCCGCCGCGCTCCTCGCCAGCCCGGGGCTGGCGCCTCTGACGCCCGAGACGGCCGCCGCGCTCCAGGAACTGCTCGAGCCGCGCGGCGCAGCTGCTGTCGAGCCCAAGCCGCGCGGCGGGCCCGCCGCCGCCTCGCCCCTCTCCCACCAGGAACTGCGGAGAGCGCTCAGACGGAGCCCGAGAGGGAGCGGGGCCGCCGTGGGGGGCGGCCGGCTCGCCGCTGGGGACCTGCCTGCGAGCGCAGCGGACGCGCTCGCCCTTTCCCGAGTGACGCCGCTCAGCAAGCCGGGCGGCGGGGTGCGCCCCATCGCCGCGCCGAACGTCCTCCGCCGCCTGGTGGGGAGGGCGCTGGTGACGCCGCGGAAGGGGGAGCTCGCGGCCGCGCTCGGCCGGCACCAGTTCGCCATCGGCACGAAGGCGGGCACCGATCTGCTGGCGCACACTGTCCGGGCGCTGGCGGAGGCGAACCCGGACCTGGTCCTGGTGGCGCTGGGCGAGAAGAACGCCTACGGGACCGCTCGGCGGGGGGCTTGCCTAGACGAGCTGGAAGAGGCAGCGCCGGAGCTCCTCCCCTTCGCAGACCTCTTCTGCCGGCGCCGCTCCCAGTATTATTTCTGGGTCGCGGGCGGAGACTGCCACCGCCTGGGCTCGGCGGACGGCGTTGACCAGGGGGACCCGCTGGCGCCCCTCCTCTTCGCCTGCGGCCTCCGCTCCCCCCTCCGGGCACTCGAGAACGAGCTCAAAGCGAGGGCGGCCGCTCTTGGCTCGCGGGCAGACGACGTCCGCGTTCTGGCTTACTTGGACGACGTGATCGTCCTCGCGCCGCCCGCCCTGGCGAGCGAGGTCGAGGCGACTGCGGAGGCCACTCTGGGGCCCCTGGGGCTCGAACTGCAGCGGAGGAAGACGCAGGCCTGGTCTCCCCGCTCGCCCTGCCCGCCGGGGCTGGAAGCGCGCTGGCGCCCCGACGGCGCCACGCTGCTGGGCGTCCCGCTCGGGGGGCCGCTGCCGCTGGGCAACCTCCCGGACGAGGGCGACGGGCGCCGGCTGGACCTGGGCAGCAATGCCTACGCTGCGGCGCGCTGCGCCGAGACCGCCGAGAGAGCGGCGGCGCTGCTGGAGAAGCTGGCCCAACTCCTCACTCTGGCCTCGCCGCACCTCCCGGCGACCCAGGCGGCGGGGCTCCTCCTCCGGCACTGCGGCACGGGCAAGCTCACGCACCTGCTCCGGGCCAACCCGCCGGCCTGCTCCCGGGGCGCGGCCGCGGCCTACGACGACGCGCTCCTCCTGAGGCCTGCCGGGAGCTGACGCGGCTGGACCCACTGGCGCCCGAGCAGCGCGCGCGCTGCCGCCTGCCGCTCCGGCTGGGCGGCCGAGGCTTCCGCAGCCAGGAGGAGCTCGCGCCCGCCGCCTGGGCCGCCTCCTGGGCGCGGAGCCTGGCGGGCGTCCGAGAGCGCACGGGGCTGGCGGAGCTGGCCGACCTCGAGACCTCCGGCCTGCCCCTCGTTGCAGCCTGCCGGGAGGCGCTGACCAGGCTGCTGCAGGGCCCTGCGCCGGGGCCGCCGCGGGCCCCGTAGGAGGGGCCGCTGCCCCCCTGGTGGCAGCTCGCCCAAGAAACTCAGGAAAAAGTCCAGAGGAGACTCACGCACGGGCTGGATTCAAAAAACCACACAGCCTTGCTGAGCTCCCTGGGCGCTGAGGGACGGGCGCAGCTCTGCTCCTGCGGGGGGGCGCGCGCGGGGGCCTGGCAGCTGGCGAACGGCGGGCCAGGCCAGCGGCTGGGCGACGCGGACTACCGCGCGACCGCCAGGGCGCTCCTGGGCCAGGACTGCGCGCCCGCGGGCAGCCGCTGCTGCAACCGCTTGCGCACTGGCGACCGGGCGGGGCAGCCCTGCGGCGAGCCGCTCTGCCGCAAGGCACGGCGCGCCTTCCGCTGCGCTTGCGGAGGCGGCACCAAGGCGCAATGCGCGCAGCAGGGATGTCGAGGACGTGTGGGGCCGCATTCACCAGGAGTGCGGTTTCCGCGCGGCCCGACAGGTCCCGGTCCTGGCCTGGGACCGCTGGCGCTGGCGCTGCGCCTCGGCTGGCTGCCGCGCTCGCGAGCGGGCCGCGCGCGGCGGGCCGCCCTCTGGCTGGCGCTTCGCCGACGCGCCGCCGGGCGGACCTTGCGGCGCCTGCGGCGGGCCGCTGGAGGCCGAACGCCAGGAGGCGCTCCTGGACCTCGAGGCCCAGCGGGGCGACTGCCCCCGGATGCTGGCGGACGTCGCTGTCCGGTACAGCGTTCCGGGGGGCGCCCGCGCCCTGGCGGCGGCCGCGGACAGCGACGGCGCGGTGGCCGCCGAGGGCGAGGCGGACAAGCGCTGGCGCTACCCTGAGCGCCGGGCGCCTTGGGCGGTCCTGCCGCTCGCCCACGAGACGGCCGGGCGGCTGGGCAGGGCCGCCCTGCGCCACCTGCGCTGGCTCGCGCGGGACCGCGCGCAGGGCCTGGGCGACGGCCCCGAGGCCGAGGCGGCCGCGAGCGCGCTGGCGCGGCGCTGGGGAGCCGAACTGAGCGTGGCTCTCCACCGCGCCACCGCACGCCAGCTGCGGACCGCGCTGGGCGAAGAGCCGGCGCTCGCGGCCCGCGCCGCGCTGGCGGCGGAGCTTGCCGGCTAGCCGGCCGGGCGGCGCCGCCGGGCCGCCGCTGCGGCTGCCGGACATGGTCGTGGTCGGCTTCCGGGTGCTGAAGGCCGCGGAGGTGGTCAGAGCGTGCGTGGGCGGCACAGACCGTGTTCGCCGCTCGAGACGAAT